ACGACCACCAAGATTATTGACGAAATATGTAGATGATTTATTTGCCATAATAAATGAAAATGAGGTACAAAACACACTTGACGCACTGAATTCTTTTCACAGGAATATAAAATTCACAATAGAATTAGAGGACAACGGAAAATTAGCTTATCTAGACTCCATAATAATCAGACAAGGAAACCAATTAAAGCTAAGGTGGTATAAGAAACCAACATCATCAGGACGAATCATCAATTTTAATTCTAAACACCCCAAATCGATGATAATGAATACAGCAATGGGCTGAATACGACGAATGTTGGAGATATCGGACGAAACTTACCACAAAGAGATGGAGAAAGAGATTCGATCATTATTAAAAAACAATGATTTCCCGGACAATATCATAAGTACATTATTAAAACGATCCAAATCGTAATTCAGTAAGCATAGCTCAGAAAATCCTACAATATATGAATCAGTAACTTATGTCCCTCATCTGTCAGAATGCCAAATAGCCCACAAACCTACAAATACATTAAAAACATATTTAATAAAACGAAGTCAAAAATACCCGAATTGGAAAAAAGTAATGTTATTTATAAAATCCCTTGTAAAGGTAAAAACAACGAGTGTTGTAACAGCCTGTATGTAGGAACCACAAAATCAAAATTAAAAACTAGATTAGCACAACACAAATCGGACTTGAAACAATGTCAGCTTACAAATATCAAAAAAACAGCACTCATGGCCCACTGTGCAGCTAGCGGCCACTCACCGAATTTCAACGACGCTGCGATTCTACAACAAGAACAACACTACAATAAGCGCTTTACCTTAGAAATGTTACATATAATAAACACACCGGCAAACATAAGACTGAACTACAAAACGGATACTTGCTTACAAACAAATCGACAGTACCAAACTCCACGTCAAACAGTGCGGACGTGTAAATTAATGTATGTATACATTTTGTTTTTAATTATTGTTTTTGGAATTTGTGTTTACGTATAGTTTATGTTTTACATGTTTGTCAATAGTTGTCCTGAGGACGGTTACCGAAGTGTAATCGAAATATATCGGAAATAAACACCAAAAAACTTGTGTTTTCATAAAAGAATTTTTAAAATTGACCTCGAGCCGGCAAAACACTAAATTATAAGTAGAAAGGTCGCTAAAACCATCAGTTTGTTTAATTTGGATAAGCGGTTTGTTTACTATCTGGAAAGACTTTTATTTCGAACTTAAAAAATATCTGGCCAAGTTGGAAAAAAATAACTGCTATTTACGGACCCTGGAAAATATAGAAAACTACACGTAGGAAACAAAATTTGTTTCTATTTACGTAATCAGTATAAGGTCCTAATTTAAAAGAAAATTATAGCTCATATGTATCTTTGCAAGCATTTCCATGTTAAAGCCAAAAACTTTTGACTGTCGCAGCCTAGGAGGTAGAGATATCGGCTGTTATTCCGTATATAGCATGTTCAAATACCAGCACATGCAATAATTAATTGATTGAAAAGGTCATTTCTAATATGTATATAAAGTTTCTGATTTTCGTAAACGCATTTTCAATTTTGATAATTTATCAAGAAGAGCTTTTGATACTTGCGCTAGAATCCCAATTCTTGATAAATAATAAAAAAACTGACAACTAAAAAAAAATGTTGATTTTATCACGTGCACAGAATCGGGCTGTAATTATCTTTCCAAAACATATTCGATTTCCAGGCCTATTCTGCACGTTACCGAAGATTTTGTAACCGGAAAATTTTATTACCAAAAAGTGTACCAGTTCTTGTTACCGCGATTCTAGCTACGTTGGTAACGCAGTTAAAATATTCAGCAATTCAGCTATGAAAAATTGTGGGAATTCTCGCATTGCATATTTCACGGGGCAATACTTTACATCTATGATGGTAACAAAATTTACTGGTTACAAGAATACACAGAATGCGAAAAGGGTTTAAAAATTGAAAGGAACTTTATTTATCGGTAACAACATTGTTATTACCAGTGCAGAATAGACCTGTTAAACAATTTGCGGTTTGAGGTACTATAAGATATCAATTTGATGGTTGTATTCGACCACAATGTGCTCTATGTCATGGCTTGGGTGTATTTTAGCTGTTGCACCATATCAAGAGAACTAACTACTATCTTACCAATTATGCACCATTAATTTCTGGACTGCCAATAGAGCCTCATAGCGCACATTTGGATCGTCGTGAGCCAGAAGTTGCATAACAATTTGTTTTCCACCCAACTGCTCTAAAACGCTGAAATAAAAAATATTAAGAATCTCAGCGCTGTTTTCCTGGGCTTAAACTTACTGTTTGCCTCTCGGATAGTGACGGACATACTCTCCGATATCGAAGCAAGCTACCGAGAGTATAATGTGATCCTTTGATGTTTCTAACAAATGTACAAGAATACGTAATAGTTCGTAATTTTTCTCATTCAAACGGTGAGCATTTTCACGCCAAAATTTAGCCGACTTGTGCACTGGCGACCACTCAAGTCGGGCACTTCGCAACTCAGTGGCGTATTCGTCAAAAGAGCTTAAATCCTGTACAGAACTCTGTAGTTTTTCGGTTAGGAATTCAACGTCAGCAGAAATATCCTCATCATCAAAGCGACGTTGTTCCAAAATGGACAACTGTTTTAGAATCTTGCATTGAACCATTGCAATACAATGCTCCTTAGCCACTTGTGGATCAGCAGGCTTCTCGATAAGATTACGAAAAACGGCTAAGATTATGCGGGTCACCTGGTAAAATAGACATTTCAACCATGCAGTAAATGTAACATTCAAATAAAAACTGTACCTTTTCCTTGGCACAATCGTTAAGAATATCGGCCAGAATGGGGATAACACTGAATTTGTTCATTTTTGTGGCCAGAAGTGGATTAAAAGTAAGCACCCATAAACAGAACACCAATTGGTACTGCACCTTAAATTGAAACAAATATATGTACATATGTAAGTATGTATATACACATGGTAGAAAAAAGAAGGTAGTTTCACTTAATGACATTAGCAGCCATGTTAGCCATTTGACTTTTGCTGAGAATATTTTGCTGAGACATTTTCATCAAAATCAAGCTACCAGATTGAAAATTATAATAAAATTTTTTGCTGAAAAGAATTTTGTCGACAAAGCAAAATATAAAATTATTTTTTTTAAATAATAAAAACAAAAATGAGTTTGCGCAGTACAAAATTTTTAAAATTTCCACGGCTTCCTTTTGTGAGACAAAATTGACTTGAGCCCCTGCGTGAGCCTTCTAAAATATCTGTATATATGTTCTCAACATTAATGGTGACAAGTTAACAAGTCCGATTTTTTTAATTTGTTGTACAATTCGTAAAACGTATTTCTTTTTCAATGCGATATTTAAATCTAAAGTTAAAGGAGAACAAAATTAAATAAGAAAATAAAAAGATGAAAAAATAACGTCTTCCTGGTTTGTTGAATTCGTTAATTAAAAACATGTAATAATGTTAAAGCAACATACATACAAGTAGATTCAATTTTAGTTGTGGGGTAGTGCCGAGAGACACCGTACACGTAAGCACATATGCCATTATCCATTGTATTTCGAGGTAAAATGGCATTCTTTGTAAGTGCATATTTTCAATACATATGTATATCATGTACTAGACTTGTTTGGTTTCATCTAAGAAGACTAAAATATTTACACTCATTTACTGTGAAAGCAATTCCCATCTCGAAATTCCCTAATTCATGAACAAATTATGGAGCTTCAAAAATCTCAGTATGCGTCAAAAAGTTGTTAATTGAAACTACCTTATTTTTTTATCATGGTGTATACATATCGTTACCTTAATATAGAAAGACCCTATCTCACATCGTTGCTGAAGTCCAAAACCCGTAACTGAGTAAAAATCCTAAACTCCCTTTTTGATTGATTATTATGCATTTCATCGAATTATAAGTCCCGACATCATTTTAAGCAATACAAAATTTTAGTCAGTTAGGCTTTTTGCACTTCAGCGACTATATGAGTTAGGGCTTTTCTATATTAAGGTAACAATATGTATATGCAGTTTTTTTTTTGCTGCGGGCTTGTATCAGAATCTTACCTGGAAGTTAACGCGGGAAGATAGAATACTGATCAATGTGCTAATACCGTCCACGGACACAAAAGCGAAGCGATATTCATCAATACGAAGCATCATTTGAAGGCAGCGAGCTACGGATTGAATATACTCATTTGCCTAAAGTAACATTATTATTGAAATTAAAAACAAAAATGTTAACTGATTAATAAAATATGACAATTACTGACATAATAAAATTTTTTTTTGCATTATTTCAAGGCGTATTCATATAAGGTGGTATCGATTTAACAAATACAACAATTACTTGTATTTTGTCTTTTAGCGGATTATTGTATTCAGCTATTCTTCTCTGAATGGAAGAGGGTGATAGAAAATACAAGCACTCTCAATTTTTTAGTCACTCGCTAGTGAAATAAAAAATTTTGACAATAAAACGCTACTCACAGTTAACGAAACAACACCACCTTATATAAATTCGAAGGTCTGAGTTTCATTCTTATAATACATTGATTTTATAGTAGATTACATAAATAGCTAACCAAACATCAGAACCAAAATTTTTAGATGCGCAATTACTAAATGTGCGAAAAGCACAACAAAGTGTCCATACAAAATATTTATAATAAACTTTTCAATAGTGTTATTGAGCTTTGTACCACGATTTTTTTAGCAAAAAAGTAGAAGTTATAGCTGATATTTCGGGCATCACCACATCCATCAGACTTCTTTTTCTAGACTTCAGCACGAATCGAACCCGCATCATCGATGTGCAAAGCAGCAACGCTAACCACTGAGCTATGCAACCCCGTAAACTTTTGTTGCTAATGTACATATTTCCATATTCAACCTACTATTATCAAGTGCAGCTGATTTGCCGCTATTTAAACTTGACCACGTGGTTATTTTTAGTTAATTCTATACATTGATTAGATTTATTGTATAGTTTTAGGTAGGCTCATCCCAAACTATTTATTTTTAAATTTTATGGAGGCGTATTAATAAATAATAAAACTCAAAAAATAATGATTATTTCTGATTAAATATATACAACTCATAATATAATGATTATTTTTGATCAAAAAGAAAACAACTCACAAAATAATTATTATTTCAGAGCAAAAAATAACGTTCGAAAAATTAGTTTTATTTTTCATAACAAAAAATATAACTCAATAAATGATTGTATTTTCTGAGCAATACAACAAAACTCAAAATTTGATTATTATGATTGATCGCAAGTATTAAAATCCCAAATAATGACTAAAAGATAATTTTTTTGATAAAAGTCATAATGATTATGGTCCCTGCTTTTAACCTTCAAAAATTGCTGGAGTAAATATTTAACGATTTAACTGACATTTTACTCCTAACCATTGATTGTGCAAGCTAATTTATCAATTTAACAGGTAAACTTCGAGTTAAATAGATAACCTGCTGCTTAGAAAAATTTTTAGTATTCAGTTTTGTATCCTAATCAATTTAGGTATAATAAAGTGCAAGTTTAAAAAATTATTTCACTATTTATTTGTCAACTTTATTGTGGCGTATTAATATTTCTTTTCAATATTGTTATTGAGCTTAGCACCACGATTTTTTTTTTGTACGAAAACTGGAAAAAGCAACAAAGTCTAAGCGGTAGAAGTTACAGCTTCTATTTCGGAGATCACCACATCTCATGATCCTAAAAAAATTTATTTGAGTTACATTTTCATTTATTGAGTTATATTTTTTGTTATCAAAAATAAAACTAATTTTTCGAACGTTATTTTTTGCTCTGAAATAGTAATTATTTTGTGAGTTGTTTTCTTTTTGATCAAAAGTAATCATTATATTATGAGTTTTATATATTTAATCAGAAATAATCATTATTTTTTTAGTTTTATTATTTTGATCGAAAATAAAACTTATTTCTTGAGCGTTATTTTTTCTCTCAGAAATAAAAATTAACTTTTGAGTTTTATTTTTTTTGGCAGATCGAAAAACTCAAAACGCCTCACTTCACCTAAACTCAACTCACCACACCTCAACTCAACTTACCTCAACTCATCTCAACTCACCCTAACTCACCTCACCTCAACTCACCACAACTCAATTCAACTACCTTACCTCAAGTCACCTCAACTCACCCCAGTGGGAAACAGTAATGTATAGTAATCGAAAAAATAATCGGTAAAACAGCCGTTTTCACATTCGAAAATGCATTATTTTTCCCACGTCGATGTCCTAGGGCATTGTGGGGCATTCACTTTTTCATTACCAGTAATGCAAGAATGAATGTGATTTAATATG